GTAGTGTGTTACTGATGGTAGCCTTTGTTACTTTGGTCCCAGCTCTCTGCAGGTCATTGACTAGGTCCCCCAGTGTGGTTCTGGGATTTTTGCTCACCGTTCTTGTGATCATTTTGACCCCACGGGGTGAGATCTTGCATGGAGCCCCAGATCGAGGGACATTATCAGTGGTCTTGTATGTCTTCCATTTTCTAATAATTGCTCCCACATTTGATTTCTTCACACCAAGCTGCTTACCTATTGCAGATTCAGTCTTCCCAGCCTGGTGCAGGTCTACAATTTTGTTTCTGGTCTCCTTTGACAGCTCTTTGGTCTTGGCCATAGTGGAGTTTGGAGTGTGACTGTTTGAGGTTGTGGACAGGTGTCTTTTATACTGATAACGAGTTCAAACAGGTGCCATTAATAGAGTTAACAAGTGGAGGACAGAGGAGGCTGTTAAAGAAGAAGTTACAGGTCTGTGAGAGCCAGAAATCTTGTTTGTTTGTAGGTGACCAAATACTTATTTTCCACCATAATTTGCAAATAATTTTTTTTTAAATCAGACCGTGATTTTCTGGATTTTTTTTTCTCATTTTGTCTCTCATAGTTGAGGTATACCTAGGATGAAAATTATAGGCCTCTCATCTTTTTAAGTGGGAGAACTTGCACAATTGGTGGCTGACTAAATTCTTTATATATGTATATATATATTTCTTTTTTTAAATGTACATTTATCTTTATTTCATTCTATGTTTTAGGTAATTTGGTAAATCTTGTAAATTGACTGTAAAATGCTGCTGTGACAAAATCATGTCCCAACTTGGGATAAATAACATATCAGATGTGTTTGATTCTTGAAAAGTCTGCAGAATCCTGTGGTGCCACTGATAACTGAGGGCAGCATCTTTACATTGGGCAACAGCAGGGTTTCCTTCATAATCTACACCGGTCACATCTCTAGAATTCGAAGCAGCGTGTGAAGCTCAGTGGAAAGCGGTTTACAGATGACCGCTGTCTAATCTGGCCTGCCTCCTGATGGGAGGAAGACCGGGTCAAGAGCTGCACTCACCTGAGTATATAAGCTTCCTGCTTGTCAGACTTTGTCACACTTATGATCAAACAATGCACAGTCTCCAAAAGTTTGTCCCACTCAAACCTAGAAAACAGAAAGCAGAAAAGCAACAGTTAGCAATTATTGCCATACATTTATGAGATTGTATTAACTGGACTCCAATGTAGAAGTGAACCCCACTACGGTCCCCCTCACACTCAACAGTTACCAGACTAGTGCTGACCCTATGTTTTAATAAGGTTTTTATGTTTTAAAGCACACAGGAAGAGGGAGGGGGGGGGGTTCTGTTTCTGGTATTATGTTCAAGACAACGCAGCCAAAGGTTCCCCCCCCCCCGAGACAGACAGCCTCTCTGGGAACCTGTTAGGCGGGTGTGCTTCAAGAACAGGCAGACTCATGTCATCGCTTACTGGGTAACTCTTCATCTACCCGGGGAAGCTAAATATCACATTTGTTTTACACTTGGCTACTAGAGGACGTCTTTGCATGTAGCTAAATAAATTATTATTGCCAGATCTGACCACCTCCAACCCAGTATTGGAGTATTCACTCCATCAGATATCAAAATTAAAATACAATAAATAAAACAAATTAACTTTCTGGCAGGTAACCAGGTGATCTAGGACCTGACACAACTAACATATCTTATTAATATCCTGACTTCAAGTCCTGCTTCATTGCCATAACTCGTATAGCCTCTTAAAAGATGGGAAGCAATTATCGAAGTAACAATAATTGATTTTCACTTCAACTTATGGTTATATAAATATTTATTTATTTGTATTCTACTATGTTGAAACTGTCACAGAACCTAATTCCTCCCTGGGATTTATAAAGTATTTTAAGGCCCCGGCCACACGAGGACGGTCGTTTGCGTTACTGTGTCATATAGACCGTTTGGCCACACGAGGACGACCGAATATGACAGTAAACAATTACGGAAACGATAACGGGTCCCAAGGTGGATAGAACGGCATACGCAACGCTCTGGGGGGTCCAACGGCTCCGTGTGTACGTCCTATACGATCATTTTCTGACAATGATGACGCAATAGCCCCGCCTCTCCCCACCTCTGCTGCTCACCCCCGCGTCAAAGTAAACTGCACACTGAATTCAGATTATTTATCTTTCTCTCGATATGGACATAAACGCGAGTGAAGTCTAATCTGACAGGACGGAGACACGCAGCTCTGCTCACCTGCAGCTCCTCCCGCTGTGATGCAGCGGTGAACAGCGCAAAACACACACTTCAAGTCAGATCATCACCCTTAGCTATTTTAATTACCTCTCAAACTACCTAAACTAGTTATAAATATGTTTATTTTTACTGTCGGCCGGGTCACTCATTACTGGATCAGCTGCTGCTTGAGACAGACAATGACGCTGTCAGAAGAGAGGGAGGAAAAAGAGAAGCTCCATGAGTTTTATTATTATTAGGGGTGCACCGAATGGGAAATTCTTGGCCGAAACCGATACCGAAAATAGGAAACAGTTGGCCGAAAACCGAATGCCGAAAATGATTAATAGAAATATATATATCGTATACATTTTTTACCAATATTAATTCCAAGTCAAGTGCATTTTCTTTTCTCTGTAGGATAACTCCAACAAAGTGCATTCAGAACAAAGCCAAGGTGCTTTAAACCTGCATAAACATAGGCCAGGAGGCCTACAACAAAATAGTGTA